TTAGTGACTGCGAAAGGCAGGTGTAAAGCAATATAGTTAATGACCTGAGTAATTCAAGTCCGGTGCAAAAATGCATGATCGCATGGGCCCGCTCAGTGCGTTCCAGCCTGGGTTTGGAGAATGTTTGAGAGTTCATTCGAACAATGTAAAATATGCAAATTAGTGGCGCTCACTAGTGCGATAAGTGGATTTATGAATTTTTATGCACTTTTGGTGCACGGCGCTATAGCGCTACTACAGCCAGCAAAAACGCATATTGTCGAGAGGTTGTCTGTGTGCGTGTGTGTGTTCAGAAGCTCATTTCAGCTACCAGGAAAGCTACCGAGAAAATATGCATTTTCCTTTGGCGGGAAACGATTTCGCAAACCAAGCAAGATATTGAAACTTTGCACGGATAACATGCGAGGCTGAAAATTCGCTGAAATATTCTAATTTCAAGTGTGGTCTTAATTCTTATTGAAAGTGAAGCTCCCTACAGATGGTTGTAAGAAATACTTAACTTTACTGAAAAATTAGAAACATGCGCATTTTGCAGCGAATGACCGCCCTCACCCCCTCCTAACATGTAAATGAACTCATTTACCTATCTGGATTTTTTGACGAAAGACCGGTCTAGCAATATTTCCACTTCTCAGTTAACTGGAAGTTTACATTTTTCCGAAGAGTGAGCATGTACCAGAACCCACCTGGAACAGGCCAGGCTTGCTGGTACGATCATGCATTTTTGTACTAAACTCGCAGATCGATAATGATAGGGATGATCCTTGCACTGTAGCCTAATACTTGGGGGCTCATATTGGCCGCGTTCTTGTCTCTTCCAACCTGCAGGAGAATGCGTGTCAGCTGGGATGAAGTTGTTATATTGTAGGGCCGCATGGACCTCCAGGTACAGGATTAACAGTTTTTTGCATGAAGCTTCTCGTTTTTTCGGTAAATGCTCGCTTTTTGCAAAAATGCAATTTCCAGTTCACTAAAAAGCGGAAATTTTGCTAGAGCGTCATCCGTCAAACCCAGGCTGGAACGCACCAGGCGAGCCGGTGCAGTTATGCGTTTTTGCACCAAACTTGAATTACGTCAACTGCATGAACGGCTGTTTTTTAACACCTATCTTGTGCGCTCAATACCGGAAATCGTAAATTTTTCGTAAAAAGAAATAAACAATTTCCGTTTAGCGGTCGTTTTTTGAAAATGACCCCGCTGTTCAGTGAGTAATTTTCTCGCCGAAAATTTAATTGCCAGTACAAGAAAATCATGCGTACATGGAGGCTGAATTTGAAACCTTTAATTTATATTGGAACAGGTAATATTCCCCAAAAATCTCAGCTTTCCTAATTCCCGAGTTAGCCATTTCCCCGTCAAAAAATTTCGCGGGGCTGTATGTGAGAATCACATACGACTAAGGGCTGAATTTCATAGATTTTCATGCGTTTTTTGCAGCTATGCAATGCAGAAAACGCATATTGACGAGAGGTTGTCTGTGTGT